TTAACTTTCAATTTTCTTTTGTTTGTATCATCAGGCTGCGAAACCAGGGGTCACAGCCAAATATAAAGCACAGCAGTGTGAGATAGGCTCAAAATGTGAGTCACTGTAGATTTGGAGATTTATTTTTTTTTTTCAGCTATCAGCAGAGCACATCTCCACTTCTGTGCCCAAGTCCTTATACCCTGAATATCTCAGAATTGGTTAAAAGTGGGTTTCTAGGGAGAGTTATCAAGGCCAGGAGATCCCAAAAGCCGATGCTGGAGCCCACTGTCAGGGTATGGCCGTGGGATGCCACRATATTTAAGCGCTGTGGCGAGTTAAATGACAAATAAAAAGGAAATATGGAAAATTATCTGCAAGCAAGAGCTCAGCTGCCCGTGTACACTGCATTAACCCTCCACCTTTGTTAGTGCTGGTTCAGGTTGCAGGTTCACTGCATTGAGCACCACCTTGGAGGCCTAATTCCTGATACATACCAGGATTTACACACAAATATAAATGTGTATACACACACACACACCCCCAAGCTCATTTAAAACACCAGAAAAATTACCTATAAGGACCAGAGAACCCAATGAGACTCATGTCTATCCCTTAACTCAGCGCAACAACAACTTGGTTCATTATTTAAGCAAAATTCTGGAAAACAGGCACATTTCCGCCACTCCTGGAATGTATCCTACATTTTGCCAGTGTCAGTATTCCCGATCAGACATCGTTTTGCTCAAAAATCCCGACCAGTGCCTCTCCTTGTTTTATAAACGCGGTCTCGTCTTACGGATGCGCGCAGGGTCTGCTGCATTTGAGAGGACTTCCAGTATGTTTAAGACTGCAAAAGCTCCAGGAGTGAGAAGGAAAAAATAAAAAAAAAAATAAAGAATGGGCAGTCATTTGAATCCGTGAGTGACAGGCTGGGCCAGCTCTCTGTATACATTAATAAATTAGAATTTTAATTGTGTCTCTGACTGCAGGAGCCGCTCCGGTACTTTAATATGTACCAACAATTGGCTATGTTATGGAATCCGCGATGTGGCCTTCACTGTTGACCTCTGCAACACAATTCCCAGTCTGCCTACGGAAACTGTTTGGTTTGATCCTTTCAACTTATTTGAATCCTGACAAATAAGCTCACAGCTGAAAGGTCAACACAGTCATATTTCATCCTCTGGAGCTATTCTTAAGACATCTGCACAACAAAGCACTTCTTTTAGTACCTGACACTGGACCTAGCCAGCACAATCTCTCATTAAAAACGTCCCCAGTGGAAGAGTCTATTAAAAGGCATATGGATCAGCTATGGATTTACCAAATAAAATATTTTTGAAAGCATTAGTATAATGGTTTGGATTATGGCACTCCACGCTGCCAATAAAACGTATATTTGCCCAATGACCAAATGTTTCATGCTTTCCAAAAGAATCACAGCRGCGAGGTGTTGTCCAGCCGCGGCGCGCAGGGGTGCGAGCCAGCAACTCATGAATCTTAATCCTACCTCTAAACCCAATTCCCTCTGTGATCCTAAGCAAGTCACTTAACCTGCTTCCCTCAGTTTCCCTGTCCAGAACTGGGGTAATGCTACTTACTTATCAGACTTTCCTTCTGGGGATGTTTTGGAGATTAGTATTTGCAAAATGCTTTGAAGATGAAATCACTACACGCGTGTTGGAAGTCGGCCTTGCAGGGCCAAGGGCTGCGGTTAATAGATACTCCTCACTCAGGCAAAACTCCCCTTGAAGTCCCTGTGAGCTGTATTTGAGTAAGAACGGCAGGTTTGGGCCCTCGAGCTTTACTGTCAAGGCCCTTAGAGGTTTCAGCTTTACCTTCCATATTCTACTACATATTTAAAGAGTATAGAATCTGTATTTTAGGAGGAAAATAATCTGCAGCACATATAAAAGGCAAGAGAAGCAGCAATGCTGTCAGAGAACTCATGGCGATAGTATAGCAAACTAAAAAAAAATGAGAAAGAGCAAAACAGACATGAGTTTGACAACGTGCTATGACAACAACCGAAAGAAAAAAAAAAAAAAAAAAGAAAAGGAAAGAGTTTGGGGCTACAGAGGCTGAAGCATCAGATATAGAACAGTGAGATAAGATAAATGTCCCGGCTACAGCATTTTGTGCCTGCAACTGAATGGCTGCATCCAGTAAGTTATTATCAAAAATACGGTGACAAGCAGCAATTGCAAAGAGAGCAGTAATAAAAGCAATAACCAGCTGCAAACCAGTGAGGTGGTCAAGGGCCTGCAAGTGCTGGTTTATGAAATCTATGAAGAGCGAGAGACATATAATTTGCCAAAACTGGCAAGAACATGTTAGTATCTCAGATGTTTGTGGAGTGTGAACACGAGGCAAGGCAGGGGGACTGACTCAGTACTTAAACGAGGAGCGTTACTTGGAGCAAGGGAACGGAACCGATGTGGAAAGTTCCCGAGCGAGTGTTTTGCTATGGAAGACTGTCTGGAGGAAAATAATAACGCTCCCACCATCACTTGGGATTTCTAAGTCTGGACAGGCAATAAAGGGAAAATGTGATGCATGACTTAATAGGTCTTTCTCGTCTCCAACACTCCTGATTTATCCTGAAAGGCTAGCAGGATGCACTCCAAGGCTGCATATGTGTGTCCACATCCTCTGTTAGGAAATGCTGCATTGGTTTAACTTTCGGAATTCACAACAGTACAGAGCCTGGCAATATTTAGAATTTATTTCCAAAGATGCCCATAAATCAGCAGACAATAAAAGGAAAAAAATTCCACACCAATGATACGATATCCTAATATTTCCCCCATATTCTTGACGCAGCAAATCAGCAGTTTGAGTGCACACAGACTAGAACCCGAGCAGCTATCACAGAGACCCGTTAATGCAAATCTCCTCCGAACGCCAACACGGTAACAGCAGCTATTCCATTTGGTAATAATGCAGCCTCACCAGCGACTAATAAAAGTACATGCTCAAGGTTTGTAAATATGTGCGGGGTGGGATTTTCAAGAACCCAACGTGGTTCTTAACTCCGCTCCTGCCCACGTCAACCTGAGCCACTTTGGGCCATCATCTGAAGGAAAGTGGTTCAGAACGACGGGTCTCAGCCCAGCCTTCACAAGTGACATGCATCAAATCAGTTTTTACTAGCAACATGCTGCCACAGGTGGCTTCTCTTACCTGAAGGGCTGGCTGTTTGTCATTCCTCTTCGGAGACTTTAATCCACTAACTTGCTGCTGCTGCTGCTGTTGCTGCTGCTGCAGTAGGAGCTGCCGTGCCACCTGGAGAGCCTGCAAAAAGAGTTTTGAAAATTGAGTTTACAGCAGCAGATCTGGGGGAATTACAAAAATGGCATGGGACCAAGGTGACGGTCCTTCGGCTACCTGCCACTGACACACTTTCAAATCCTACAGTGGGGGCTGCCCCTAAGAAAACCCTCAGCACTCGCAGGAAGAGTGCGATGTCCCACCACAGGGCTCTCCACTGGGATTATGGAGAGAAGCAGCAGCAGCTCATGTCCCACCTGTATGTGGTAGGAAACCTCGAGCAGATGCAGAAACCCCACTACAAGACTGATGTTCATCCACCACTCTGTTCATAGGGCTCATAGACCCTAGCTGCTTTGTGAGGGAGGAGATCCAAGGGCTAGCGGCTTCTACACTCATCTTCTCCAATTGGTCTGATTGGGTTTACAGAAGAGAGCAGTCACTTATCACCACGTGGGACAGCCATCAGCACGCTTTCCTGCAGCGAGGGAATGCCAGAGCTGTTTCTAGGAAGCTATCAGAGATGCAACAGTACCAGGAGGAACCTCAACTTCATCATGGAGGCAGTTCTTGGCAGCCACCATGAGACCAACGAAAAGCGATATCGGCATCTCTCCCTCCTCAAAATGGTCCAGCAGGTTATAACATATCAACCGCAGCACTTGTGAGCATGAACCAATGGGTGGCCAAGAGAGAAGAGTGGAGGGATGCTCCAGCAGTAGGAGACAGAGGGGAAATGGACATGACACTCAAAGATGCCATCAAAGCATCATTCAGTGGTGGAGCATTGTGAAAGTCACTCGCCATGCTAGAGAAAAGGGGCCGGTGGGCAGTGGCTCCAGACACCTCGCCCGGGAGCACAGGCTCCTGGACGTGTCCCGGGAGTCATGGGACACAGCTGGGAGCTCAGCCCGGAGCCCCGTGCGGGATCCAGCGCGGTCGGACGCCGGGCTGCTCGGTCTCCTTGGAGACGCTCAGTACATGTGTAGGTGGAAAAGTGGGAAGGCTGAAGACTTCATTAATGTAAAACAAGAAAAACGGTCCCTTTGCAAGATGCCTACATGGAAGGAGGGAGAGAGCTTTCCCCACTCCTACCGTGTACGCTCTCCGAGTGATTTAATTAATGCCTATTTAATTACGCAGTCAGACACGCGCCGGGTTTCACTTGCTTCTCCAAGTTGCCAAGTGTTTTATCTCACTGCAGGACAGCCAGCTTGATGCGATGGGCAACGCAAGCTCTGATCATCGCCCCACCACAAAACCTCATCATTTCACAAGTCCAGACCCACCTTCCTGCTTTGGAGAAGACGGTTGGCACAGGCCACCACAGCAGGACAGCCCAACCAGGGCACGTGGAGGCAGGAGGAACGGAGCAGAGCCCTCACATCCATCCTCCTCATTGCCAGTGAGACCTGATGGTCTCTGATCTAACAGCAAACTTCTGTTATGCAGAAATGAGTCTACGCGCACTCACTTTGGCACGAAGAACCAGAAGAGCTAAAGCCCACCCGTTAACAACAGCAACAAAGGAGACCTCTATGCGGAAAGTGCTGTTTTGAGGGTAAAATTCAACTCTTTTTACTGAACTAGCTTGTTTAGGTGTTAAAGGATCTTCAAGGGTGGGTAGAGGCAGCACAAAAAAAAATCTATGTGACTTAAGGGGATGGGCAACAAATATGCACCTACTTAGCAGGGGTGTTGCAGGGCTTATTTAATTAATGAATACTTGTAAAGCACTCCGAGTTGCTCAGACAAGAAGTGCCATACAGTACAACTGCAACATATTATTATATATTATTAAGACTGGCTCTGCAGAGGAATAATTCCAGGTAAATGTGTAATCAAATGATCATTTTAGTTCCCAGTAATTAGATTCAATAGGGCAAAAAAAGAAAAAAGAAAAAAAAACAACCCTCCACAGAAGCCTTACTTTAATCATACACTAAACAATCAGAACATCCCTAACCTTTCAATCTACAGCCTTTCTGAATAAAACATCATCAACCTATAGACATTATTCCAAAAAGAACCAGTCACCATATGTGTTGTCTCTTTGAAATACAGTTGCTATAGCAGACCCTGCATGCATTTCATGTGATACGATCATATCCCCTCCTTTCTGGCAGCCGAGAGGTTGCACAACTAAAACTGGCTGCCAGAAATTTCCGAAGATTCCCAGCACGACCAGCCGTGCAAGAAATGCATCCATGCAGCGAGACCAGGCACTGCCGCCAGCCGGACTACAGGCTGGGCTGGCAAAGTGTCCCCGTGCTCCATGGTGGCCTGTGCACCTGTACACGTGTCCATCCTGCATCCCTGCCGGCTGGGGCTCTGCTCTCCTTGCCTCTTGGGACCGTGTCTGTGGTGGTTTGCTTGGTGTCCTTGACCATGTATTGAGACCAGGCGGCAGGAGGGATGTCAGAGCAGGTTGCACTGAGAAGATGGCACAGAGTGAGCACAGAAAGGGAGAAAGGAGAGGAAATAGGAGAGCAATGAGTTGCCTGGAGGGAGCATCATGGATGCAAGGAGCCAAAAGGGACAGGAACAGGATGGGGACATCCACAGACGGGCAGGTAGGGGTGAGGCAGCAGTGGAGCTCAGTGCAGCTTCCACCAGCATTCCCCACATCTCTTCTATCAACATTTGGCTCTTCTGCTTATAAACACCCAAAGCAATCAAAGCATCATCTGAGCTTGGGTTTCAGACGTTGAATTTGTTTATAGTCCCGATCCGGTTCTCTGATGCTGAACATCTGCCTCAAGTAGCTGCTATTGAACATCTGCATCAAGTAGCTGCTATTGAACATCTGCCTCAAGTAACTGCTGTGTCTTTGGTGACAAAATGAAGTCAGAGATCCCAAATCACTTTGTCTTTCTGGATTTGCATCCACCCCACCACGAACCAAGCACAGTCATCGTCTCCTTCAGAGTATACGGAGTAAGTAAGTATATGGAATGGGATGGGGACAGGGAAGATGGCTGGAGGGGGACAGGGAGGATGGCTAGCTCACTAGAGAAAGCCCTAGTGCTCTTTTCTCTCCTACCCCAAGCCCACTTAGGGCACCTTTGTGAAAATCACTCACTGATGTTGGTCCATACCCGGTGACTCCTCTTGCACTAGCACTTCCTACCAACCCCAATCTGACAGGCCCTGCTCCCAGGCCCCGTGCCCAGCTGGCACGGTCCCATCAACACTTTTTCTATCGAGATGTGATCGTGGCTCCTGCAGGAGCTTGGGAACCCTGCCGGGGGGACCGGTGCTGCCCCGTGCTCCGGGTGAGGCCGCATGGCCAAATCCATGTGAGGACGAAGCGAGTCCGCCAGCCTCCACGGGCGGCATGGCTCGCAAGCGGAGCACATTAATAACACTTCCTGTGGGAGTAGATGTTGCCTTTGATTTGCATGTGAATTCAATGCTAGTGAAAAGCGCCAGACTGTCAGACATGGAGACCAAAGTCTCTTATCTTTCCAAAAGCTTCTGTAGCAGTTTCCCCACATTTCCTTAATCATCTGCCTTGTCCTCAACTTACTGAACAGGCAGTAGAGAGTAAAGCTGGACTCTGTTCAAGCCCTGCTCCTGCCAAGTCCTGAAGCAGGGGTGCCAGGACCGTTCAGCGCAGCCGGCCGCGCCGGTGCCGTGTCCCTCTCCCCACGGCAGGGAGCACCAAGACCCCCGGCACGCTCTGCTCGTGCCATCCTGCCCCTGCCACAGCTACAGCCCCATCCACACGAGGTGCCTGCAAGGCTGCGTGCAACCACCGCGGCGGCAAGAGAGCCACGGCCGGGGCAAATCCCGGCAAGCGCCCTGCGCGCAGGATTACTGGGAGCAACAGGGAGCGGGAAGCGCCGTTCCCAGGGGTGTCTTCCCAATACTGTGATGTTCGTGCAGCTACAAGGTGAGAACAGCCCGTGGTCACCTTCAACACCGGCAGACTGGGGATGACTTTGGCAAGAGGCTCGCTGCTGCCGGCGTCATCCCGAGTCACCTCTGCGTCACACGCAGAGGCAACATGTATTAAACAGACTCCTGGGCCGTCTCCTTATCCATCAGAAAATCGCCAACAGATAAAGTCATTTTTTTTTTTGTATAAAACAGAGCCTTGCAAAAAGGCAGTGGAAATGCTGCATTTTTGAGACCTTGTACAGGCACACACTGGTTTCTGCAAGCCAACGTTGGACACCGCTGCACCCAGCGAGGGTTTCAGCCACAACTTCACTGCAAGCTTAATCCAGCATCATCCCCACAACGATGCTAGAGACCCCCAGATGGGAATCATAAAACTAAACAGGAAGCCCCTCAGAAAACGCCTCTCCCTATGGTTTGCAAGACGACAAACACTAGATGTTTCCCAACTAGTTAAGCATTAAAGGGGGGCGGAAAGAAAAGTCCGTGTGTGAGATGACCAAGGCAATTTTATTGCAAGAGAGACAGAATGTGACTTGTTTGCCCAGCTGTTGTTTGCCCACAACATCCGGCCCCGCTATCTTTTAGGCCGCTGTTGTAATTTCACATTTTCACGCAAGCAACTCAACCTTTCGGTTTCACCATTACTCTCCAGCCAGAGTTTGGCTCAAAAATGTAGCCCTGCCCCTGGTTTCAAAAGAGCAGAAACTTCTGATTTGGGAAAAGGGCCGGGGAGAGGAAATGCAGTGGAAAAAAAGAGGGCAGAGAGTTCCCAAAAATAGAAATGCTGCTTAAACACCATATACTTGCTTGCACTATTAGTATATAAGGAAAACAGTAACAAGATCCAAACCTGTGGAGCCTCTTGCTAACTTGTTCCACCGCTGGAGCCAGTATAATACGGCGGCAACCCTCTCAAATTGATTTTCCACCAGCCTATTTCTTATTGAAGGAAAAGAGCTCAAGCTCCTCCCTGCCCATCTGCTAGAACCAATATTAATATCAATCGTCAATTAATGAAATACAAAGACGTGCAGCTGTAACGGTCTGACTCGAGGGCACTACCGTGAGGAGAAGCTTG